CATGCTGTGAGGTAAGGACCAATTTGGTTCTTTTTCTTACTAGTATCAAGTTATTCCAGAACCATTTGTTGAAAAGACTGTATTTTCCCCACACTGAATTTTCTTGGCACATTATTCAAAAATAAATTGACTGTAAATGTGAAATTTTATTTCTTGACTTTTAAATCTAGCCCATTTATCCATGTGACTGCCTATTCTTATGCCAGTACCACACTGTGTTTATTACTGTAGCTTTGTAGTTCATTTTGAAATTGAGACCTACAAGTCTTTTAACCTCATTCTTCTTTTCAAGATTGTATTGGCTATTCTGGATCATTTGAATTTCCTTTTATGTTTTAGAAAAGACTTGTCAATTTCTGCAAATAAATCACTGGATTCTTGATAGGAGTTTTGTTGACTTTGAAGGTCAATTTGGAGACTATCGCCATCTTCACAATATTAATTCTGACCCCTGAACATGAGGATGTCTTTACTTGGGTCTTTCTAATTTCTTTCGACAATATCAAAAGTAATGTTTTAGACATTTCTTTTGTGACATTTCTTTCAAAATGCTATATTATTTTTGATGTCACTACAAATCGAGGCTTTATTTTTATTTTTTATTTTTTGGTTTTCATTTCATTTTTGTTTTGTTCATTAGTACTGTATAGAAATATAATAGATTGGTGTATATTTACCTTGTATCTTAAAACCCTATTAAACTCACTTATTAATTCTAAAAGTTTTTTTCTTTATACCAGATCAAATAATCTAAACAGAGATATTTTTACCTCTTCCTTTCTAATATAGATGCCTTTTATTTCATTTTCTTCCTTAATTGCGCTGGCTAGAACTTGCAGAACAATATCAAATAGAAGTGGTAAGAGCAGATATCTTTCTCTTATTCCTGAGATTAAGGAAAAATCATCCAGTCTTCACAGTTAATTATTATTTTATCTATGTATTTTGAATAATGAAAAACCAAGAACACAGAGGAAGAGACAAGAACTGCTGACACTTGTTCCCAGGGAACAAAACTGACCCTCAGGAAAAAATCTGGCAATGTATACCTAACTACATATAAAGCTTGTTATAACCTTTGCCTTCTGTTTGCCTGTTTTTCTTTCCCTTCTGAAATGAGTTATTTTGCAGTTATCATTTCTCTCACTATTGTAAGTTGGATGTGTTGCAGATCTTCAGACCTAAAGAGATTTATCCCTACCTGGAATTGATCTAGATAATAAAACCTGAATGCCAATTACAGCCTAGTCTGATGAAAGTAAGCTTTAATATTTGTTGAAAAGAGTGGCTGTATTTTACATGAGAGAGGAATTTGAATAATTTGATGAACATAGGAAAAACTGTAATGTATTTGAAAAACGCTTTATATTTTTTGAAACAATCATATGAAGGAAATTGTGTGTGTGTGTGTGTGTGTGTGTGTGTGTGTGTGTGTGTGTGTGTGTGTGTGTTTTACTGGGCTCAAAAAATAAGTAAATAATAAATAAATAAATATTAAAAAAAGAAAAAAAACATTAAGCTGGAATTACAACGGTAGAAATAATTATAAAGCAGTCTATTCTCCCTTGAGGCACAAAGCCAATACTTTGAAATCAAATTTTATGAATTAATTGATACTCTTGTAAATGAACCTTCAGGTCAAACGAAGCTGAACAGATCTCTGATAGGTTACCTTATAAAAACAAGAGGGCTATGTTTACAGGATCTATGCCTTCATCAAAAGGGAAGTCCTGGAAAATTTTTACCTGGCTGAAAGCTAAAGGCAAAAGGAAGGCTATTGTTAGGCTGTCTGTTTTTATAACTAAAAAATCCAAAAGAAATAAATACATTAACAGTAATAATGCTTTCTCAAAATATTTGAAGCCATAATCTTACCTTCAAATGAAGCTAGGTCTTACAGTTATGATCACTCCTCCTTACTGTGTCAAGTAAACTTCATGTCAAGATCTTAAATTTAAGAACATTGAGTCATGTGTATTTCTGGAGTGTAGCAGAAGCCATTACAAAACACCTTGTAGAAAAACTTCTTACTTCTTCTCTCAAAATTTACTCAAAGTAAATTAGCCAATTAGAACAATAGACCCAAACCCACTAAATTAATAAAGAAATAATAAACCTTGCAATGACAGTAATATTAAAAGTAAACAATTACTTGAGGCAATTGCTTTAAACTTTCAGATATTAGAATAATCATATATACTATACAAAGTAACCATGTAGAAATAAAATTTTTGAAATAGCCATGAATGAATCTGCTCAAAATTACCACTCATACATAGAACAAAAGGAACATAAAAATGAAATGACAATAATCAAAATAAAATATATTTATGGGTTGGTTTGAATAACAACTTAAATGTAGCTGACAAGACAATCTATAAAATTATAAGAAATTATTCAGAATATGTGAAATATAAAATATGAAAAATTAAAGAATATACATAAGGGAATGAGGTATGCCATAGGTCTAATAAGAATTTCCAGAGGGAAAAAGTAGGAGAAAATTACTCAAAATGAAAATAGAAAATTGTTTTTCCAAAACTGCTGAAAGAATAGAAACTACTAATAAACTAACATAAACTATTGCAAATAGAATTAATAAAAGTAAATCCAGAGCTAGATATAATATGGTGGCATTTAGAAAACCAAACACAAAGAAAACCAAAGAGAGAAGACACCACAACCAATAAAAATACAAATAACATTATAACAGTTTTCAAACAACAACGTTGAAAAAATAAAGACAAAAGACTATGTAATAATACTCTCAATTGTTAAAGAAAACAACTTTCTTCCTGACATAATGCTGTAATTGCCTAAATAATTATTCAAATTGGAGAAAATAATTTTTCAGAAACCAAAAAAATATTGTAAACTGCCACTAATGTTACACAAAAGATAAATTTCTGAAGTTATATACTTCCGTAGAAAGTCAAGAATGATTATCAAAGAAATTGATATATTTGTGAGTAAATCTAAAGTAATACCATATCAAATGATAATATATAATCTATAGGGTTAATCATTCTCAGCAAACTGACACAGAGCAGAAAATCAAACACCGCATGTTCTCACTCATAGGTGGGTGTTGAACAATGAGAACACATGGATACAGGGAGAGGAGCATCACACACTGGGGTCTGTTGGAGGGAAATAGGGGAGGGACAGCGAGGGGTGGGGACTTGGGGAGAGATAGCATGGGGAGAAATGCCAGATATAGGTGATGGGGAGGAAGGCAGCAAACCACATTGCCATGTATGTACCTATGCAACAATCTTGCATGTTCTTCACATGTACCCCAAAACCTAAAATGCAATAAAAAATAAAAATAAATATAATAAATAAAAAAAGAAGTAATTCAAGATAGAGCTACAATAAATGACAGTGTAGTGTGAACTATGAATAATGTGTGAAGTGATTAGGAAGAGTTAGAATTGTTCACATAAATAGTAGCAACATTGATTAATTTTGGATTTTTCATGGTAGTATATATGAAATACTTTAAAGAGTCTACAAAGAAAATTGTAGTAAAATATATTGTTTCTAAACTAGTGGAGAGAAAAAACTTAAAAAGAAAATTCAAAAATTATTTTGAAATGGGAAATATATAAAGTGGAAAATTCTGTGCCAAAATAAGTCAACGTACTACAACAATCAAAACAAATTTAAATGTACTGAATTTACTAGTTAATAGAATTTATCAGATTTGATTAAAAATTCACCTGTCTCCTGTTTGTAGGAAAAATATAAATATAAGAACGTGTAAGATTGTGTATGAAAACGTTGAAAAACAAAATGCCAAGCAAATGACAAGCCAATGATACATGGGGCATTTATATTCACATCAGACACACAAAAAGATTCTCATCAAAAATAAACAATTCAAACTTCATTCACTCAATAAGTAAGTCTGAAAATATATAAAACAAATCTACATCATCCTAGAAGAGATAAACAGATCTTTTTAAATTATGATTAGTCCTAGAATCAAAGTTATATAATGAGATGTAAACAATTAAAATGAATAATTTATATAAGATTACAGAAATCTGTACCAATGAAACAATGGATATTTTTCTCAAATATGAGATTTTTATTAAAATTCAACATACTCAAATTAGTTGTCCGTATAGGCAACCTATGAAATGGGAAAAAATCGCAAACCTTGTATCTAATACAGGGTTAATATCCAAGATATATAAGGAATTCAAAAAGGCAATAAGCAAGAAAACAAATAACCTAACTAAAAAATGGGCAAAGGATCTGAAAAAATTCTCAAAAGAAGACACATAAATTATCAACACGTATACAAAAAAATGTACAATATCACTAATCATCAGGGAAATGAAAATTTAAAACACAATGAAATATCATCTCATACCTGTTACAACGACTATTATCTAACAGAAGAAAGATACGTGTTGACAAGGATATCAAGAAAATGGAGACCTTGTACACTGTTGAGTGGAATGTACATTAGTAGAGCCATTTTGGACATAGTATGGAGCGTCTTAAAATATCAAAATATATAACTACTATAAGATTTAGTAATTCTATTTTCCTATAAGATTTAGTAATTACTATAAGATTTAGTAATTCTATTTCTGCTTATCTATCCAGAAGAAATAAAATTCATATATCTTCATTTTCAGGTCCATTGCAGCATTATTCACAATAGCTAAAATAAAAAGTCAACCTAAATGTCCATCCGTGGACAAATGAATAAAGAAAATGTGGTATACATACAAAACCGAATACCATTCAGACTTTGGAAAAAGAAACCCTGTCATTTGCAACAACATAGATAAACCTAGAGGGCATTATGGTAAGTAAAATAAGCCAGACACAGAAAGATACCAGATCCTCTCATTTTTATGACATATCTTAAAAAGACAAACCCATAAGAGCAGAGAGTAGAATGGTGGTTACCACGTGCTGGGGTAGGCAGTGGGATGGGAGTGGAGAGTTGATGGTCAAAGAACACAAAATATCACACTAAGGAATAAATTCAAGAGATCTGTTATACAACATGGTGACTATAGTTAAAAACAATGTATTGCATACTTGAAAATCACTGAAAGTAAAATTTAACTGTTCTCATCATAAAAGATAATTAGTGAGGAAACACATATGTTAATTAGCTTTATAGTGCCACTCCACCAAAATGTCTACATTTTCTTAAACATCATGTTGTACATCAGCAATGTATATATAATTTTAATTTGTCAATTAAAATTTAAGGTATTAATTTAAAATAGCTCTCAATACTTTTCACAGGGTTGCATGGAAATTAATGTTTACAACTAAGTAGCAAAAAAAAAAAAATAGCAGAAATGCCTCAAAAAGGTGCTAAAAACAGAAATATATTATTTTTAAACATGCCAAACAATAATTCTCTGATGCTGTCTGCTTAAATATATTAAGAGAGCCAATAACCATTTAGTTGCTTAACCAATTCTGGAATTGGCCTGATGTTACCCTCTTTTTATATAAAAATCAATGTTGTTATTATTTAACCTTTATAGTTAATTCTTATGCTGTCAGTTGTAAATAATCGACGTCAACTTTGTGTATAAATTACTGATTGATAATACCAGATATTAGTAATGCTGAGGGGGAAGTACATTTTTCTACAGGCTGAGTACATAGACAGTCAGAAGTAAGTTAGTGTTATTTACTAATCATTAGAATATGATATTAAATATTTTATACAAATTTAGTTATATTCAATTTTTATATAAATTGCTATTTATTGCCATTCTCTACTCCTGAATGCCACAAGAAAAAAATTTTCTCTAAATATTTTTCTCTTCTTGCCAGACATCATTCAACTTGAGGAAAAGAACTGAACTAGCCCAACTGATGAGTTTGAGAGAAAAAACTGCACACACGCAGGTGAACAACTTTCTTTTTCCCTCACTTGAGTGTCCGTCTGTCTGTGGACTTAGAATTCTTTTCTACTTTTCTGTGCCATTAGTTTTAGAGGACTGATGGGATGGCACATACGTTGCAATTTTAGATAGAAAGTTAAATTCAAACAAGTGTTCAAATCTTTTGCTTGGGCCAAGAATATATTTTTTAAAGAAGAGTTATAGAATTTGGGACAATACCTTTTAAACAGAAATTGAAACATTTTACATGACAAAGGTGAGTGAATTTAAACTCTAGTGGTATTTCTTAATGATAAACCCCAAGCAATTTCTTGAATTTGATTGCTTGTGATTGCCTCTTTTGTACAGTAGGACTGCTTTTACAATTGTGTGACAGACACCTGGGCAATGTTGATTGACAATTGTCCATGGATTTCTTACGTTTCTTCACAATTTTGACAGTACTTATTTCAGATAATCTGTTCAAATATGTTTGTATAAAATATAATGTAAATATAGTTTTGGAATATAAAGGTAGTTTCTCCCTCTAGGAGACAGGGCAAATTTATTTGCTGTCTAGGAGACTAAAGACAATATCTCCCTCTGGGCAAAGATAAGGCACACATGCTACTAGTTTTCTTATAAAGTTGAAAATGTTTTAAGCTGTGGTTTCGCAACCATGACACAAATTTACTATGTGAGCAGCTCCTACTTGGACCATTTCTCATCCTCCTGTGGAAGACGAAGTAATGCAAACATAAAGCTCATGTTGCCAGTGCCACGAGTGATAAAGTCCTTTGTCTCTAACCTAGGAATTTTGCTGCTTCTAACAGTATCTATGAAATCGTGGATGGTTAATTTGTTAGCTCATATAGAGTGAAATATCAAACCATTCTCAGATCTTAAGGAAAGAGGCATTAAGTCCTAGGTTATATGCTATTTTGATATTTTGATTGATGTTCTGATGTCTATATTTACAGAAACATATTTTCTAAAATTCTATGTAGAAGTTACAGTTTAACAAAAGGTCCATAGGTTTCAGCAGAGCAAATCTTTACAAAAGGTCTGAATAAGATTGGAGATCTCAAAAGCTAAGAATGGTATAGAAGGGCTATATTGGCAGCTTCAGACAAATGATAGGACTTTACGTTGATAGTTTGCTTCTGGTGACTTTTGCTATAAAGAATTCCTGTCCTAATTTGCAAATGAGCGTGGAGCAGCATAATAAATCTTTAGTTCTAGGCGAGGAAAACCACCAATGTTGCTAACCTGAAAGGCAGTTAAACTCTACTGGTTCTCCATAACGCGAATGAAATTCTAACTTTACATCATTATTCTCATTCAGTGTAGATGCATCTGTTCACCCATTTTTTTTTTCTTAAAATGACCTTCAGGGCATGAAGAAGAAACTCTGGGAGTGACTATCCTTGAATTAATGTAGTTTGTTCAAGTTTACTCTGTTCATTTCAAGACCTATAAACATAACATTAGTTTTCTGAAATGAAAATTATGACTTTAATCAAAGAATGGGAATACATTTTAATAATAAATATTTACAAAAGTATTTATGATAAGTTCTTCTTACAAAAGTACAAAACACCCTTTGTAAGGACAACTTAACGTGTTGGATTGAAGACCAACTTATCATATTAGATTTCACTGAAACTCCTAAGACCTTTCTAGCCCTTGCCACTAAATGCATTGTTCATGAACCAGTAGCATTGGCACTATTCAGGATATGTACACATCCTCATCTACTTATACCACAATCCAAGAATTAAAAGTTGCATATTATGAAAACTTTGGGATATTTTTTACTTGTGTTGAAGTTTGACAAATACAGCCTTAATAGAGCCTACATTGTTCCTGGGAAATAGGATTGCTGTGAAAAATCAAAGATAAGCTGAAGTGTTTTGAAAAATGCTTCTTACCAGCAAAGGAGCAGTTGAAAACATGAAAAAATAAAGGACGATAAGTTGATTTAGCTGGAGGTGGAAAGAAGTTACCTCAGGTGGAAGCATGAACTCTAAAGAGCAGGCTGTACAAATAAAACAGGAGAGATTAAAGTTTAAAAGTCAGGATAGATTGATCTAAAAAGGCAAAATAAATATTCCTGGTTGTTTAAAATGATACTTTAGGCCAGGTGTGGAAGCCCAAGCCTGTAATCCCAGCACTGATTGCTATAGCTCAAGAGTTTGAGACCAGCCTAGGCAACAGGACAAAACCCTGTCTCTTCAAAAACAAACAAACAAAGAAACAAACAAAACACACATGAAAATTAGGGCATAGTGGCCTGAATCGGTATTCCCTGCTACTAGGGAGCCTGAAATGAAGAGATGCAGAAGGCCGACATTGTAATGAGCTGATATAGCAACACTGCATTCCAGTCTGGGCCACAAAGTGAGACCCTGTCTCAAAAAAAAAAAAAAAAAAAAAAAACAGAACAAACCAAAAAGCTATATTTTATCCTTACTAGGTCAGAAACAGTGTGTCTGGAGCCCTACAAAATATAACAGAAGACAAGAAAGAATCAGGTCTCAGAGAGCAAACTAGAATGACTTTTGCAGAGTCCTTGGGTCCAGAAAACAATTGAGTAGATGCTTCCTAAAGCTACAGATTGAGAATGAAAAATAAACAAACACACCTACACAAGTGTTTACAAAAAATTTGGGCAGTTTTAAATGGACTAGATCAGGGAGACATTGTAAAATATTTAAAGAATTACTAGGTGAATTTCAAGGTGATTCCATTTTTGTCTATGTGAATCCTATTGTTCCCTGAGTGTCCTAAAGATATACAATTATGAATATATGATTCTAAAATTCTAAGAGAAGACAAATAATAAAATATGTTAAGAAGATGCTAAATGGGATAATAATAGATGGAGACAGGGCTAGAGTTTATGGAGAGAATACTCCTTGGGAAAAACCTTCTGGGTGGAATTATTCAATGGATGTAAACACATTTTTTGAATAGCAGATGATTTGGTAGGTACAAAAGGCACTGATAATGAAACCTCATTTGAATTATGGGAGATCCCTCAATTTCAATTCTTAAAGGATATGTTGGAACAATGTCTGAGACAGGAAGCAAATGGAAATGGAAATTTAAAGGATTCAAACAAAAACTACCTTGGATAGGCAAAGGCAGAGTTGAACTACAAATGGTTTAAGCTATTATAATTTCAACTAAGCCTTCCAAAAGGGAAAGAAAAACACTACAGACATATCCCACTATAGAAAAATTGCTACTGTAAAAAAATGTTCACCAGAAAGAAATGCTATCAAATTTCTGCATTATTCAAAGGAACAAAAAAGACAGCATGATAAGAAGCACAGCAGATGCAGCTTTAGTTCAGAAAACTCTAGCGGATAAATTTCCAGCTGAAACAAATGTGTGGTTGGGAGAAATCTGCCTAAGAGAGGAGGTTCACAGGCTTAAGTTGCCATGTGGCACAGGATATAGAAGATTGCTCACAACAGATAGTAAAGGCCACGTCACTAGCAGAGACTACCTCCATGTAGTGTTGTCCTGCCAAAAATGTGGGACTCCAAGGAGATTTGTAAATTAAGAATTTGAATATGCTGGATGATAAAGAAAGACTTGTCAAATAAGACCTGGTGATTGAGACTGTCACCACGGCAAATTTCTAAACTTTGCCAGGAGGCAGTAATATCTCAAATACTGTTCTAAGTGAGGGAACATTTGCATAATGGAATTTCCCCCCAGATATCCTAAACATAGTGGCATAATTAACCTCTTTTTGTAAGATATTTTCCCAATCCATCCTATATTCACAAACCATGGACTCTAGACACCTGCATCAATAAATGGTATTTTGGCAAAGCTGAAATCCAGATGTTACCTTTTTGCCCCTTCCTCAGATATCATTGAATATGTGGTATGGTCTATGGCAGCACTCAGTATGGGCTTCTGGAAAAAAAAAATGCCTCATGTAGCTGCACTAGTGCTCAAACTTTAATACATTTTCCAAATTTATTGGAAGATATGCCAGTGCTAGAATTAATTTCATATCTGTGGATTTTTAAACTGAAGAATATTAGAGCCTTGTTATTGATCAACAATTTCTTTAGGAACTAGCCCATTTTAGTAAGATGCCAAAATCGTAGCTACTCAAGAAGCCACAGCTCCACCAGCTTGCAGAATTTCTTTGGCTTACATAGAGGAACTGTGAAATAAGATGGAATAAAAACTTGTCAAAAAAGA